ATTTTAAAATTCTATGCTATTTTTTCCTTATATCCCATATTTTGACTTTTGCTCTTTCTGTTTTTTTTATAAGATATTTTTTAGAAATATTTAATGGTTTTTTTCATAATTTTGATAAAATATTTGTTATATTCTTTTTTCATTTGTCTTAAATAAATAAAGTTAATGAACACTTCAATTAAAATTAACAAATTTAATTATTAACGGTGAGGTTAAGTTTAATGATATCAACTGAGGGTAAAATTGTTGTGTTATAATATTCTTTTTAAAAGAATAAAATAACTCAATTAACTTCGAATATTTTCATCAGCATGTATAATTTAATTAAAAGTGTCTTAGAAGAAAGATAATTTAATTTCATCATTTTAAAATTGACTTTCACATTTTAAAATTCAAATTTCTTTAACTCTTAAAATTAGTAAGTATTTTTGCATATATTTCGTAATTAATTCATCTTTCCATGAATCAGCACCGATATATATCATTACTTTTTAGTTGAAAACTAAATACTTACAAGCCATTATTTTTAAGAATAGATTGATTTTTTATTAAAAAAAAAAGGAAAACTTTTGAACACAACTGGTTTTTGAAACCCTTTTTCAGACTTGAAAGGGGAATAAATGTCATCCATGTGAGCAGTGCTATATAGTTTTAAAAAAATGATAGAATTTTATCTCAGATCTAGGCGTGGTTATTAAACAAGATTTAAAAAAGTAAAACTATTCAGTTATTTCAGAATTAAAAATAATCCCAACCAATTCATTGGAGTAATAATTTTAGCCATTTTATTTTATAATATTTTCTGTACTTCAGTGTCAGACTGAAGGAAGTTTGCAGTTTTTCTTTCTTGACAGAAAAGAAAAGAAAAGAAAAATATTTGCAATGTTGTTATAATGTTTCATTACTTACTTAGATAAATGATTATAGAAGCGGATAACATATGGTACAAAAATTTGGTGATCATTTACTCTTTTGTTTCTTCACCAATGATGATCTATCCATGAGTCTTGCAAAGCTTCCTTAATTTTGCAACTGGTTTTATGTTGATATATTATTGTTTAAAAGTGTGCTAATATATAAAGGAAAAAATAATTGTTCATTTACATAAATATTGGAATATAATATTTAAATGATAGCAGGTTTTGTTTTTGTTTTTTTTTTTTTAATTATCCAAATTGAATGTATTGCTTTTATCTTATCTTTGAGTTAAACAATGGTTTTGAATCTCAAAAAGCTAAATCTTAATCAGCACTTTCAACTTCAAGTAAATTTGACTTTGATGGGATAGAATTGAAGAGTTTCAAAAAATCTCCCAGAATATGATTGTGGTACCATAAAGTTATGTGATTATTGGATATCCCATCAATTCCTTGTTGAATCCATCATGCTAGATTGGTGGCCAGCTTATATGACCCTGCCTGAAGCTGACATTTATTGTGGTACCACAAAACAATATTGATTTACTGTTTACACTTTAATAATTGTATATTAGAATTTATTTTTTTCTTCATAATTTCAATTCAGAAAACTGGTTTAAGTTTTTAAACACAGTTTAGGCTATTTGAGTTAGGGTTTTATGTAGAAAGTAGAAACTAATTATAATAAAAGAATAATATAAAAACTCATGTAAAGGGATAAAAAAAAAGTGATTTTTTTTTTCAATTTTCCCTCCACATTAATCACTCATGCAGCATAATTACCCTCAATCATTCACAAACAACTGATATAACTTTGCAGATATCATGTTCTATCTAAATAAATATATATAATCTGAAAATTTTATAAAATTTTACATCAACTTATTTTTACGAGATAGTTTTTTATTCTTTGGATTATACTAAAAACTGAATGGCAACCTGAATTGAATAGTTTGAGACTTTTATCTCATTCTATATATAACACCTAAAGTAGCCTCAACTGACAACCCAAATATATAATTGCGTAGCATAGAAGAAAGTGTTGGTCTTTTAATCCTCAATAGACCAAATTAGGTTCAAAATCACAGATTCGCAGATTCCACAACATTAAAATCTTTGATGGGCTTGGTTATGCAGTAGGTATAATATAGCATTTGCTCAAGTTATTCCAACAGAATCAACAGATATAATTAATAAATGTGTTCCTTCTAATAATGGCCCAGATTCTGGCACCATATGCCACCCTTTTATGGCTATAACACATCATGTCTCAATAAAAGCTGTTTTAGCCATTGTTTACTCTTCTCTCCAACTCTTTGTTTATTTAGAAGTGTACAAGACAATCACATGAGTTTTCTTATTTAATAACATACCCTCCCTTTGCCATGCTTGCATAGAACCTTCAAACAATGTCTAATATATATTGTAACTTATAGCTATACACCGTAGGAGGAATCCTCGTGATATTAACACCAACCCCATGTGACCTTTTTATACACAACACAGATAGCAAAAACATGATTATAGATTACTTCTCTCTGCTGTGTGTGTCTATGTATATGTACAAATTGTTAATTTTATTTTATTTAATAAATTTGATAAAATTATTTAATCGTATATCAATTAATTTTACTTTAATGAGTAATAAAAAATGTTAAAAACATATTTTTAATATTTTTCAATATACTCTTTGTAATTAATTTATTTTTAAAATAATAAAGTATTTGTCTTGTAAATTGATTATTTTTAAATATTATTTTAATTTTTTTTAATAAATAAATCTCTAAAAGCAAGTGTATTTTAAAAAGTGTCTCATTAACCTTACTCATGATTAAGTTGTTTTATAATATATACGTAGTTGAATGTTAACTCTAAAGTTATATACTCATAAATATATAATTTATTTAAAATGTAATACATATAATTATTGTTATTGAGATAATATCATAAGATTTGTATTGTATAATAAATGATGAAATTTACAAATTAAGTAACATATTAAAATCTCCATTTATAATTTAGTTAGGTCTAATATATTGAATAGAATTTACGTAAAATAACCGTGAGAAACAATATAAAACTAAAAAGGATTGATGGAAGAGAGATTGTAATTATAAAATTTGAGGGAGGAAAGAGCTACTGTATTTGAATATCTATAAAAGTTTATGAGAATTTTACAAGTCACTTTTAAAAAATTGAAAGAAGGAATTAAATCTATTAAGTTATTCTTGTCAACTGATATTACATGTGAACTCTTATTAAAATATTAACTTATATTCGCAATATTCTTTATGCTATGCTCGAAAACTTTGTCTCATTCCTATTAAACATTGCAAACGAAACTGATTGAAAGGTACTAGCAATCTACTTGTTAAAATTGTAACTTCTAAATAAAGAAAATATTAAATAGTATAAAACTGTTTAATTTATATTTTGATCTCGCTTCATCTCTATTTCATATTCTATTAATAAATAAAACATAAGTTTTCTGGAATATGTCTATTATCTGATAGTTCATAAAATATGTTTATTTACAGTTAAAAGTTGGTACACAACAAAACACAGGTGGGCCTTGTGTTCGGAAATTTGCAAAATAAACAACACAACAAAAAAATGAGAATGAAAGATTGACTTGAGTTCTTATACAATGATGGTTTATTGCTTATCAGTTTTGAAGTGAGCTGGCTAGACAAAATTCTCCAATCAACAAGCTTACAACTGGGAAAAAAAAAAGAATAAAAAGAGAACTCTAAATCAAACAATCAATAAATTTGTAATTTTCTAATCACAATAATCTAGAATAGTATGCAAAGAAAGTCATAAGTTGGAGACATGCAGCATACCTTATTATTTTGTGTGTCCACAAATCAAATTCAATTTCACGGTGAGTTTTCCAAATTGAGTAAGATAGTTGACTTGAGAGTGAAGAAGCTATAAGCAACCTCAAAGATTTTTGCCAAACATGGTAGGCAGAGAAGCTAGACAAGTAGATAGCAACTTTTGCTAGGTCGCATGCAAGTGAAATGAAAGTTGACTCTTGAAAGTTGAAATTCCCTCTCCTCCTGATGAAACTATATAATTAATATGTCTGCTTTTATTGTATGAAAAATTAAACAAAAGAAAACCCAAAGCAAAGCAGTTTAACTTTTATAGGTGCGGGAAAAATTACAATTATGTAAAGATTTAGTTTTTAAAAAATAGACGTGATTTAGTATATATTTGATAAATTTAATTTACAGTATTAACTTTGCTATGGGAAAAGAAGTGACTGGATAGAGCTACTATGGAAAAAAAAAATCATAAATCTCGAATTGATGGGTCATTTTCAAATTGATGAAAAGGCAAAACACAGGCACAAACCGTTATTAGTCTTCAACACTTGGCAGGTTAGATGGGGGAATAGACTCTACAGCACTTGGCCTAAAACATAGGTGCTCACTCGATAAAGAGACGTTTCCACGATTTCACGTTATGCTTTCTATATTGTGTTTCTGGTTTGATCCCACTTATTAGTGAATATCAAATCATAAAATGACTCCTCCATACATTGTATATTCACACGGGTACTCAAACACACAAAAATACAAATGATATTTAAAAAAAATACGTAGTGCGGTTGTTCATCTAATATGTTTGTGACATTATATTTATTGTTTTTATTTTAATGCGCTTTTTATAGTTAAGATTTCATCCAGTTTTTTAACAACTGCAGAGAACCCAAGATTGTTTGGCAAGACTCAATAAATTCAATAACCAAAGGACAATCATGGAGAGGGTGTCACAAAAATGGAAACCTTAATTAAAAACCTGAGACTCCCTTTTTCAATTGATTGGGTTGGGTGCTGTTTTCCATCAATGTAGGCCCAGACATTTCTCTCTTTGCTGGGCTAGGATATCGCAACCCGTTAGTGCCCCTGTGATAGGGGAACTTTTACTGTTAATTAATAAAACTAGAAACTAGATGTTTTCTTACTAGCAAGGCTTTAGAGATGTACAATATATAAACTGAGCTATTATCATGTATAAAAATCAATAGTGATAGGTAGTGATTTTATTTTATTTTATTTTTTCTTTTAAGTACATTGATATCTCTGATAATGTCAAATATCTTTTTTATTTTTTTTCATAATAAAATGTCGAATTTCATAAAAGGTTGGCTATCTTTCCCGCACTATACGTGGGTTGTCGAAGTGTTCATTTACAGGGATCTGGACATTGAGACTGCTGCTTTCAGAAATCTTTATACAAATAAATGCCAAAAGGTCACTCCATGATGTCCATGGGAAGTATTTCTTCTGGTTCACTTTATTAACAGAATATAGAGAAAACGCAAATACTGGAAATTGCTGTATGCTGTTATTCTATTGGTCGGCTCTTAGCTGCAAAATTATTCATGAAACATTTATGTTGAATTAGCAATAATACTATAATATAATCAAGTCGCTAATCAGTCCTTTTCACAAACTATTTTTGAATTTAGGTATCACGCCATGACAAATGACAGTGAGTTAGCCAACAGAAGCTTCTAACGCATTTCTTTTTTCAAGTATGATTAACTGACTTTTCCTGACCAGTGAATGTCAGTACAGGATTGATAGTTCCCTTCTAGTGTGGAGACCTTGTAGCCTAAAAATATGAACTTGATTGGATCTAATTGCAAGGTCGAGACTGAGACTCTCCAGCCAAGACTTTGTGGCGTGATACTCCAAAAGTTCTTATCAATTTACATCATAGCTTTTCACCGTGTCTCTCAATTGGTTGTGACACTGACTTTGTAGTATTCACCCAGGACTAGTGCACAACTAGCCTGCATGGCTAAATGACTAGTTTTTGTGGTGTAGTTCTTCTAAGATTCTTATTAGAGACATTGATAAAAAATGCTAATATCCATTTTAACATGGTTCAAACATTTAGTTCGGTAAACAAATTGTGTGGACTGTGGAACACATTCGATTCAAGTTGCAGAAAGGTCAGGTAGGCATCTTTTGGGAAGTATATGGTTGGTCCCAAAGCAGTACTAAAATCCCAGTATACAAGACATACAATAGCAACCGCTTAACACATTCTTCTATGAATGTAATAATGTTATTGACACACAACACTATCATTTACTATATCTGCATAATTTCACCAGTTGATTGTATCTAGTCTCGCCTAACATTTTGGTAGATCTACATCTAATCCTGTCACCTCTAATGGGAGAGAAGTGAGGCATGGTGATGTACTTCAAGCATTACCAGATTTACCTTCCATATGGATGATATCTTAAACTTTTTTGTTGCCCATCCATGGTTATGTTTTCCACATAAGTCTTGAAACAAGAACAACTGTTGGGTAGCTTTAAACCTCCAATCACAAATACAGAAACTACAGGTCGTCCTACCAACATGGAAATGGAGTGCCAAGTGATAGCTAGGTCCAACCCTACAGCCAATGAAAAAAGGTTGATAAGATCTCGCAAAAGTCACTGTGCTTAGAGATTATGATGATGATGATGAGTAGAATCTAAATCACGTTGGCATCTACCTCACTCTCAAACAGGTTTTGATTTCCGTGTTCTGACATCAACCATTTACTCTGTTAGAGAACCCCTTAATTTCAGGAATGAAAAACAGAGAAGACTGAAGCTGCAATAGCAGTGATTCCAAATACCCTCCTCGCAGCGTGTATGCTACTCCAACAGTTTGTGTTGGAGAAATAAAGACAACAATGAGATGCCCAAAAACCAATTCGATGCAGATGCGATTCCTCCAAAGATTCCCAAAAACCATAAAAGTTTCATGGTTGAGATGGCATACAACAGCTTCCATCAAGGTGAGAGGTCCAAGGTATTCAAAATCAAGATCCTACCTAAGATTGGAAGTGAGCGGTAGTCATGTAAATCACGCAAGCATAATAAAGAACATAAGATATTACCTCAAGTACATGCTAAAGTTATGAGCTAAGACAGACTAGTTTTTTTTTTTTAACACATTAAATTAAAACAGTAAAAGCAAGCATCCCAATTACTAGATATCAACGAAATAAAAGTGGAGTGGATAACAAAGAAACAGAAATTGATGCAGAGAATCAAAAGATTTACAAACCCTGTAAATTTGAGAAAAGTATGATTGAAAACGACTGTTCATTTCACACTTCTTACAGTTACATCATTAAAAATGAATCGAGTTAAATAAAAAAAAAAAAAACACTCTTGGAGAGATTGGTAGAAGTAGACTGATGAAAACAATATAAGAAAAATTTAAATAAAAAACAAGTGATGTGTGTCATAACAAAATCTGTGATCCAAAACAAAGAATGTTGGAGTCAGTAAGAAAGAGCTGCAATATTGGATTTGAAATAAAGAACAATTCACGAATTCTCTTCCTCATATAGCAATTTATTACAACAAAAAAAAAAGTAATACCTCTCACCTCTAAAACAAAAAAGAAAATGAAGTGAGAACAAATTATGTAGCTCCAGTAGCTTTTTTCTTTCCTTCCCTCTTTACGGGACCTCCCTCTTTTCCCTTAATCATCCTTGACAAAACATCTGCTTGCTTTGTGTTCCCCTCCTGATTAAGACTCTTGATCAGCTCATCATGTTTGCTCCAATCAGTGGATCCTCTTTTCTCCAGAATCTTACATAAAATGGAATGAGCATTGAGGGTTTTCCCTGCTGCTAAGAGAGCATCTAAAACCTTATCATAGATTGAAATGTTAATGATACAGTCTCTCTCAAGAACAAAATCTAATAGTTTGAGAGCGGCAATTGTCTTTTCTTTCTCACATAGAACAGATAAAAGGTGGTCAAAATCAGGCTCACACCCATTAAGCATAAGCAAATCAATTCGGCCCAAAGCTTCTTCAACATGACCTCTCATGAGAAGGGCCTCCAATATCTTAGAAACCAAGTCCATATTCTCCTTCACCCCCTTTTCCACCATACTTTTCATTACTCTGCTTGCAGTTTGGACCCTGCCATCATCAAACAAACTCTCAATAACTGACCTATAAAGGGATGATTCTGGTAGATGCCCACTTTCAAGCATGCTATCCAAAGCTGTTTTAGCATCAGCCGGCTCTCCTTTTCTGAGGCAACTCTCAATAAGCAATCTGTAGGAATCTGCATCTCTAGGAACCCCTCTCCTGCCCATGATCTTTATAATCTCAAAAGCAGAGTCAGGGTTTCCTTCTTTTGCATGCCCACGGATCAGATTATTAAAAGCAACGGTATCCTGTACACCCTTTTTCATCAACTGGCGGAAAAATGTCTCTGCCTTAACCGTCCGCCCATGATCACACAGATACTGAATCATCAGATTATAAGCACTAGGTTCCATTTCAAAAGAATTCTGGGGCCTCGAGACAATCTCCTTCTCAATCAACTTGTCCAACAATTTCTCCGCTCTGTCATACACATTAGCCTTGCAAAAACCCTCAATCAAGGCACCATAGTGACCAGCCTCTGTGGGAATACTCAAACGTATCATCCCTTTCAGCACATCTGCCGCTGCATCCAATTTACCAGCCTTACATTGGCAAGCCAGCAGTCTCATGAAGATGGCATTATCCTTGGGAGCAACATATCTCTCCACCATCTCCCCAAAAACATCCCGCGCCTCCGCCATCTTATCAGCATCACACAGGCCAGGCAACAGGGTAGTAAACGTAAACGCATTCGGCTTGATACCACAAGACTTCATCTCCTCAAAAATATTAAGTGCACCGTCAATTTTTCCTGCGGCAACATAGCCTTTCAACATTGTGGTATAACTAATCACATTGGGTGCAATATTCCTCCCCTTCATCTCGACAAACAAGTTCTCAGCCTCCTCCACCTTCTTAAACCGATAATACCCATTAATCAAAGTATTATAAGTAACAACATCAGGCAAAATATCCCTACTCTTCATATCTTCATAAAACCTAATAGCAGTGTCCAATCTCAAGGACAAAAACATACCCCAAAGAAGAACATTAAAGGTATGACGCGTAGGCTCAACACCGTCTCTCAACATTGAATTGTAATACCTCTTCGCCATCATGTATCGTCCCCGTCGCAGAATCACCTTAAACAAAGCATCATAAGATTTAACAGTGCGTTCTACCCCTAACTCCTTCATCTTCTGGAAGATCTTAACGGCTTCCTGAACGATCCCGGCTTTGCCATAACTGTCGATGAGGGAGACGAACATGTCCTCGTGGAAGGGGACGCCCTTGCTGGGCGCGTCGAGGAGAATGCAGCGCGCGTGGTTGAGTTTGGAGTAACGGCCGAGGATTTGAATGATCTTGAGAGTGGTGTCGGGGTTGTGGGAGAACAAACCAGCTCGCTCGACCCACCGGTAGAAGTGAAGCGCGTGCTCGGGAGTTTTGGCAGCGTGGAGAACGTTGTAGACGAGGGAAGGGTCGAAGAGGGGAACGATGGAACGGATCGAGTTTTGTAAGCGCGTGGTCCAGGCCCGGTTGGCCATCATCCTGCAAATAAGGGTTTCAAGTTTCTCGGGAGTGCGTTGAGGGGGAAGGGTTCGGGGTTGGGATTGGGGTTGGGGTTGGGGTTGCGGTTGAGGTTGAGGTTGAGGTTGAGGTTGGAGAGGGGGAGGGTCGGGTTCGGAGAGAGGTTCCGCAGTAGAGGTGGAGAAACGAAGGAGAGGGTTGGGAAAGATGGGGTGAAGAGTGGGTCGCCATCGGAGAAGGTTCGAATTGGCCATTGGAATGGAAATGTGGTGGTGAACGAGCAGAGTGATGCAGCAGCGCCAGTTTAGACGTTAGGGTTTAAGAGTTACCAAACTCAACACCCAGGTTTTTTCTTTTTTCCTTAATTACACTTTTAGGTACTGTATAATTACAAGATTAATCTACCATTTTGGCTTTTTAATATTTTTTTTCCAATTTTAATACGTCAAAATTTTCTTTATTATTATCGAGTTTTTTAATTTTTGAATCGATATATTGAATTAGATTTTCATTCTTATTTTACGTAAATATTTTTTTATCATTTTGTTATTGTGATTTTTATATTTTTTTAAGTTATTTTTTTAAATTTCATCAATCTGAATATCATACTATATTTTAAATTAAAATTCTTTAAAACCTTAATATCACATTCTACTAAATCTTTTAAATTACAATAAATTGTTTATTTTCTCAAGTTTTTCATTTTTTTTTTCGCAGTTTTTCATTTTTTTAATCTCAAACTGAAGTTAGAATTTATTATTTAAGTAAAAGATATATCAATATAATAATTTTACTCGAAGGAAAGTGACAAAGGATTTACTTTTAATAATTAAAAATTTTAATTTTAATAAAAGTTTATTATGAAACTGAAATAATAGAAAAATAAAAAAATTAATTATGTTTTTCTTATAAATTGAATTTGAGTGAATTAGTGTATGTTTCCTAAACCTTTTTTTTAAGATTACTTTTTTTCTTAATTATCCTTTTCATAAAACTCTTAATTTACTTCTTAAATGAATTAATCCAAACATACTGAAATAAGTATGTTTGATTTCTCTTTTAAAAAAAGTTTTTTATTTTTTTAAATATAATATAAATTTATACTACATTTAAAAAAAAAAACTCTTTTTAAAAGAAAAATCAAACATATTCTTAATTTTTATTTATTCAACAACTCAAATCTGATTATATTATTTTTTATACTACAAAATTTATTATACATAAACCTTCCATAACATCGAATTTTTATCTCTAATTTACATATTTTTATGTTAATTATTTTACATCCCTCCAAATATTTAAGTCAAGCTTCACCAGTAACAATTATTCAATTAAATCCATGTCTCATTGATCCAAACTTGCTTTCGTACCAAAAATAGCTTAAATTTTTTTGTTATAACAACATAAACAAAAGTAAAGAAATAAAGGAAAAAAAAAAACATATTGCTTTCCTTTTACGTCAAAAAAGATAATTAAATTAAAACACAATAATAAAATTACTTTTTATGTGAACCATTTCTATAGCACTTTTTTTAAAAAATTTATAAAAACAAAACTTAAGTACTTTAGTATTATTTTTATTTAAAAAATGTTTTATTCTAGCAACTTGTTTTAATTTTAAAGATATTTTTTATTATATAAATTATTAAGATAAAATTATAACTCTAATTAAAAAAACACTAACAGTATTTATAATATTATATTTAAATTTTCTTATAATATAAATAAAAATATTTAACTTGAATAAACTAATTTTTACGTCTAAAATATGAGTACTAATATTAAACTAGAAAAATGAATATCTCACACTTATCAAAATTTACACTTAGGCCTGTCAAAAGAATTGTATTATAACATTATGATGAGTCAAGGATGTAAAAAGAAGAAAGACTAATGTAAAGTAAAAAAAAAAGTATGAAAACATCAAATTTATATAAAATCCACAAGCAAAGAAGTTGATCATGATCTAGAATTCTTCCAGAACTTGAAGTTGAGACTTCTTTCATTAAGAACCCTTTCTATCTCTTCCATTGGAACACCCTTGGTTTCTGGGACAAATATGATGACAAAAATAATGGCAACAAAAGCAGTTATTCCAAAAAACATGAATGTCCATGCAGTCCCAATAGCTTCAGTCAAACTTAAGAAAGACTGGGAAACAATGAGGTTAGAAACCCAAACTGCTGTGGATGCCATTCCTGCACAAACTCCTCTATACCTTAAAGGGTATATCTCTCAGTTGATAACCCATGGAACAGTTCCCATTCCAGGTGAGAAGAACAAGATGTAGAGTCCCAAGCCTATTATTGCAACCCATCCAATTTTGCTTGGACACTCTTTTGTGTACCATTCCCTATGTTCTGAAGTGCAATGATGCTTCGAGGAGTCGTTATGCACCAAACATGCCCCTGGTTTTAGCTGCACAACAAATTATATAAGAGTTAGAACAAACAAGAATGAATATCAAAACTCCGTTTGCCTAGATATAAGCTAACCTTTTTTCTTTTTTTTTTCATCAAATGTAAATCCCCTCTTGTTATTGAGTAATAAGATATAATTTTATTAAAGAAAAAAGCTTATTTTAACCAAAATTTTCTTGGCTGACGCACAAAACTTCTTAGATCATTTAATTATGTATTGCGAAATTAGTACTACCACATGTAAATTTTAACCGTTTTAATCACATGTCAACACATTTTTAGCTAATATGAGTGATGTAAAATGTATGTTAACGAATAATATAATTTGAAAAAATTGAGCCTGGAGTGGATCAAGTTAATGTTTTGTAACCTTATCTGGGGCAGCACAGAAGCCACAATGTGGAGAAGCTTGAAGGCAGGTGGTGCAATGCCATTGATGACGGTTGGTAGCTGTAGTGTATCCAAGGCAAGTGCCATTGAAGCGAGATGTTTCAGTTGGGCTAATCAACGGGGAAGAAATCTGAGTTTGGTGGAAAATGGCAGTAAGAAGAGCAAGGGATGCCATAACGCCACCCAAACTAACTATAGCAAGCTTCTTTCTTATCAATCAAGTATATGCTCAGAATGGAACCAAATGCATTTAGCCCTGCCGTGATGAGTGACAAAAGTAATGCTATTTCATTGGAGGCAAAACCAGCTAACTGAACAATAGTGGGGCTATAGTACATCACCGTGTTGATACCCACAAATTGCTGGAAAATTTGAAGGCCAATCCCAGCATATAAACCTCTCCTCACAGTTTTTGTTTTAAGCATTGTTAGCAAGCTCACCTTACCTGAGCTTTCTGCTTCCCTAATTTCCGTTTCAGTTGATTCCCTTAAATTTTGAATCTCAGCTTCAACTTCCCCTTCCGGGTAAATCTTCCTCAAAATTTGTATCCCTTTTTCTTCTTTTCCCTTTTATATATTCAACAACCAACCCATAATAAGACATGAAATATAAATGACTAATAGTATGTATGATAATAGATGATCACTGTGTGACAAAACTTGGTTGCAAAACTGATGTTCTCCAATAAAAATTGACACTTTATCACAGTAATCTTCATTTAAGAAACTAAAATTAACAATGATTACTAAAATAAAATACTAAGTTTGACAAGAGAACAATACTAATAATACCAATGATGTTGTACTTAAGTTTGTTCTAATTGCTAACCTTTCTGAATAGCTAACGAGGTGATTCTGGGAGCATTATCGTACACAAAATTTGGAATCAGGATCTTTTCCTGTGACATGACTCTCATGTTCCATGTTTTTTCATTTTCACTCAAGCGAATTATTTTTTGCTTAAGCAAAAATGCAAAAATAGTGAAAAATGAAGGTTATGTTTGCGCCAAAAAATGAGAGGATCCCAATCCCAAAATTTGTAGTAGAGCAGGTATTGCTGCTATTCCTAACATCCACTTCCATGTTCCACGCACCTAAAAGAAAGGTACCAGCGAATTTATTAGCATATCATCATTTATCTCAGTAGAAAAATCCTTAATTTGACACATAATGTAAATAAACATGTGGAAGAAGTTTAAGGTTTAAACATGTGAGAAATCATGAATGCTTTTATTGTGTGAATGTAGTTAAAAATAGAAGGCAAAAACGATGTTGAGCAAGTAAAGCATAGGTTCTTACATGGTGAATCCCAAGTTGACACAGTAAGAAAGAAGTTGTCCACCAGTAATAAGGAAACTATTGAGACTCACAAGGGCTCCTCGAACTCTAGTTGGAGCAGCCTTTGAAATGTGAAGAGGGGATGTCATTGATGCCATTCCAACACCAATACCAACAAAAACTCTACCAAAAATTAGAACCGCTGGACTAGGAGCTGCAGCTAAGACAGCAGACCCAGCAAAGAAAAGTGCATCTGCATAAAGGATTGTTGTTTTTCTTCCAAACTTATCACTCATCCATCCACCAAGTGATGCTCCTAAAATGGCACCAGCAAGTGCCACACTTACTATGGCTTCCTGTTCAGTGAAAATGAAGCTACACCATTACCATTTTATAGTTACTAACATGTTACATGTATATTAAAGCAAATTACATTCACACATCCAGAATTTTATTGATATTACTTTCGATACCTCTGCCTCTTTCACACTTCATAGATTCGTATTAATTTAAGCAATAACATAACACTATGTATCCTTTCTATAAACTCACACCTATCCCTAGTATATGAATTGAGAGACGTCAATGTAATGTCAATAGAGAGAGAAATATCTGATGCATTATTATTAAACTTTAAGGAATGATAATGCAATTCATTATATAGATTAACACAATTACAACAACAAACAAGTCTTGTGGTGCAGTGGGTGAAATCGGCTACATGAATCACAAAGTGCCAATGAGTTTGGTCTCAAACCAAAATTTCAAAAATATTATTAATTAATAAATGTCTTTTAATAACTATTTCAAAAATTCGTTTTTTTATCTCTATCTCTTTTACAGGACTAGAATTTATGTCATGCACTTTCATCATTAGCATCTCCAAAAATCTACTCAACCCAAACCACCTTAATATATATATATTAACACAGTTTTAAACTAATATTTGTTGGGATAGTTAATATATGCAGTTTTAAATAGGGGGCTGTTTTACCATTAAACAAAAACTCTGGGGAGCTATAGTGTATACATGTCCACAAAATAAGGGCAATGGAAAACAAAAATAACAATTTTTTTTATTCTCGACCATATTCACCTGTGCATGTGGAACACATGAAATAATTTCCTGCACAATGGGCGTGTGTCCATTTTACTCTTCAAGAATTTTTCCCTTGGCACTGTATGAGGAGGCTGGAGACAAACATGCGTTTGTTTGTGGATGCATTTGAACACAAGATGAATTCATGGACATCGTGCCAACCAAGTGTTGAAAAGTCAAAAATGGTGTGCCATTTTCGGTACCTAATATTCGGTTGAATGTTAGCGTTTTCGGTGACTAACTTTAGTTGAAAAATTAGCAAATTGTGATGCTTTGTTGCCTATAAATACGAAGTTCTTCCATCCATTCATTGCATCTATTTTTGAGAGAAAAATAGAGAGCAAATAAGAGAAAGAAAAAGAGAGAAAATAGTTTAGCTTTTGGGTATAATTGGGTTATGGGTTGTGAGTGGTTGTGAGTATTTTTAAGTGTTATGTAAACACTGAGTGTATTCCCTTTTTCAGTAATATATCTGCAGCAGTTTGGAGACATAGGCATTGTTGGCTGAACTCTGTTATCAATTTTGTGTGTGCAAATATTCCGCATTTATTTTTTACTTCCACAAATCTGACATTACAAGAAAATTCGGCGTAATTTTCTCAACACCAAGATGGGCAAGAAAGATTAATAATAAACGAAAGAGTGACATCTCATTTTCCTAGTTGTGACCGCAAGCATTACCTGAAGCCAAGTCTCTCTGTCCACTTCTTTGAATTCGTCTCTTATATACAAAAGAGCTCCAGATATCACACCTGTACTACATATCCATCAATGGTCAAACACTCAAATGTCAAAACATTAGAAAAGTAAAAAAACCACAAATGTGCAAATATATTACCGGTGTCATAGCCAAAGAGAAGGCCTCCAATTCCAGCAGAAAAAGCAAGTTGAAGAACATATGGATTGTTCTTTGAAAGAGCCAAACACTCTCTGAAAGCAGAGCCATCAGCTTCAGGAACTCCTCCCTCCATGTTGTTGTCTCGTTTTGTTGAATCATAGAAGCAGGCTCGTTTATACTAATGACTGCGCCAGTGCACCAAACCATAAATGGAAAATGGACTCAAACAAAGGTGTGTGGACTCCTTGAAAAACGAATATAGGGAAGGCAGAGTGAGTTTAGGAGAAGAAGAATACGTGCAGACAAATGTAGACTACTTTCCACTCTAATAATGGAAACTTTTCTGAAGTTGTGATTTCTCATTTCTTCATGCCTAATGCTTCATCACAACTCACAACTACCTTACTTCACCGTTAAAAAAAAAATACAAATAAAAAAATGCTTGTGTTAATATTTAAATCCCCTTAATAACTGTGTAATACGATTCACTAAACCCGCACCCCTTAATTGTAATTCATGCTACAGTCTATAATTTGGACATTAAAAGATTGATACAAATACGATTATCTTTTATCTTTCTCTTATATTTTTATTTTTTTTCATATACATGCATATAAAAAATTACATGATTTTCATCTACTAAAAAATGAAATATGCTAGCGGTTAATCAGACTCAAACTTATTTTTATTATATTTACTCTTATATTATTAATAATTTAATTTATATATATATATATATATATATATATATATAGTTAAAGTATACAGAGTATGATATCATATCAAAAGATAACTCTGTTAGAATAAAAAAGTAACATATATACTCATATTATAAAATAAACAGTAATAAATTCAATTTCAAATATATTAAACATATTAATTTTATTATTTCATCGTCAAGTAAATTTTAACAAAAATAAGTCATTGTATTATTATAATAATTATTAAACTATATATAATTTGTGAGTATTAATTTTTAATTACAGTTTTTTTAATAGAAGTATTTTTAGAGATTTTTTATAATTTATTTTGAAAAATAAAATTTATTTAATTTTTAAAAATTATTAAATATATTTAAATTATTTATTAAAATATATTTTTAATTTAATGATACCTGTGTAGTGCATAAAAAATATTAGTTTTACAAAACTTTATCGTGTGCTTGGATAAATTATTTTGACAGGAGAAAGTCAATTTCTTTTAAAAATAAAACTTTACATTTTTTATTTAACAAGGTACAATGGTAAAAACAGAACAAAATCTACCTAATCAGAACAATACCTGCATGTTAAAATATCTAATTTGAATATTTCTTTTATCAAAAATTAAAATTCTTGTAATTTTAACGAGGAATTTGTTTAACTAAAAAAAAGAATTTAAAATTAAACCTAAACACGTAAATTTTTTAATTTTTAACAAGATATTTAACTTATAATTTAGATCAAATTATAATTCATAATAAGATTAAATATTTTATTATTATTATCAAGCATTTAACTTTTTATATAATGTATGAGAGAATTATTCAAAAGACATAACTAAACTATTTCTTGAACTAAAAATGCTATATTGTTGTCCTATGTAGTAGTTTATGAGATAGAAAAACTATGTCGAATTTCATATGAATTTTGAGATCTTGATCTTTTTCAGTTATAATGTGACAATCAATGTTATTTTTAATAAAAAATGACAAAAAAAATTATATAAAATTTATTTAATCAAACTTTAAATTAGCTTAATTGAATTTTACAAAAGCCAAAGAAAAAAGAGGAATGAGTATGTAGGGATGAGGGAAGCAGGAGGGGTTATGTATGGGGAAAGAGGAGTAGTGAAAGAGTTGAATATGAAGAAGAAAGGTAGGAGTGTAGTTAGAGAGGGAGATAGAAAAGGAGAATTCGTTTTGATTCTCATCACAAGAGATTTGGTATCTGATTTTTTGAGAAAGTTCCTTGATAAATTCTTTAAGAAAAGATTATAAGAAAATAAAATATTCAGTTAATAAATCTCAAATTCTGACTCTTATTATTATAGATAGGATAATACTAATCAAAATAAATGAATTTATTTATTTTCATTTAATTATAATTTTGATGAATCTATTTACAAAGTATTAAAATTATTTATGAATGATTGACTATATCATATCGTAGCTGAAAAGAATATTTAAATATCAAATTCAAGCTCTATATAACTTTTACAAAGATGAAAATAGAAGAAGATAAAAAAAAAATTGTTCTAGTTCTTGTCACAAGAGAAGTTTATGAAGAAAAAATATTATCTCAAAGTTGGAGACTCAAAATTTGCATTAAAGTTTCTTAGGAATGGATTTTTGTCATTAAAGTTTCTTAGGAATGGATTTTTGTCAGCTAATCACTATGAAATGTGGGTAACGAAAACATAATAAACTAATGGATAAATTTTGAAACATTAATTCCTGGGCAGTCAAGTGAGCATAATTTGAAATTCAATTTTACAATGAGTTCAGTAGAAAAAAAAGAAAAAAAAATGGATGATGAATAGAAAAACATAAACAAGTTTCTATTTTACATATGGTCATAGAAGAAATATTTTGAATAATGTATTTCATTCGTTTAAAATTGGAGTTTTACATTATTTTATATATACACATCAAAAGATCTTATGACTTTAGTATAATTTAGTAACAACTATATAATAGCAGATGAAAAGTTAAGTAGGTGGAGAGAGGGTTAAGTGGGTGTGGGAGAAGAGGGAGCTGAAAATGAAAAGAGCCAGTGAAGGAATTGAGTTGAATATGAAGAGGAGAGTGGAATTAACAAATATATATATGGAATTAACAATATTACTTGAAAAAAAGTATACATATCCCTCCAAAATGAAGTTTCACATAGAAGAAAAAGGGGAAAAAAAAAAATACAAAAGCAAGTGATGATGACTGAACACTTCTTTTATAATAAATAGTATTTTCATTTCTCATTCTTCATCCTTGGGGTTTCATAAGGCTTTGACAGAAAGCTTCAGTCAAAACATTAAAACCCTAGAACTAAAGTAGAAGCGGCAAATCTTTGGGTAAAAAAAAAACAATTCACAATCTCTAGACACAATTCTTCACAAAAGAAGCTAATAAATATACTTATCTCACATCAATTTGGCTTTACACCTGCTCTTGCACCCACTAAAACACAGTTGATATGCACTTTCCCTCTATGTCTTTATCAATGTAAGGGAAGTGTAATGGTAAAGTGATGCGAAACAAAGTTTATTCTAAAAGAAAGCATAATTAAATTTAAAAAGTGAGTCAACTCTTCTGATTGCCACTTCTCTTCTCCCAAAACTTAATATGCATAGCTCTTTCATCCAGCATCTTCTCAACTTCCTCCATTGGAACACCCTTGGTTTCAGGTACAACAATGATCACAAAGAAAATTGCAATGAAAGCAACAAACCCAAATATCATGAATGTCCATGCTGTCCCAATAGCTTCAGTCAAGGACAAAAACGACTGAGAAACAATCAGATTTGAAACCCAAACTGTTGTAGAAGCAATCCCTCCACAGATTCCACGGTACCTTAAAGGATATATCTCAGAGTTTACAACCCATGGAACAGTTCCCATCCCTGGTGAGAAGAATATGATATACAAAGCCAACCCAAGTATTGCAAGCCATCCAGATTTGCTAGGACACCCTTTTGTGTACCATGACCTGTGCTCCTTTTGGCACTGATCCTTTGTAGTATCATTGGAGATCAAACATGCCCCTGGTAAGAGCTGCATATTTGAGACTAATGATTAAAATCCTACTATATGGTAAAAGCAAATGTGTGACAAAATATTGCATGAGTTAGGTACTTACCCTGTTAGATGCAGATGCACAAAAACCACATGCAGGTGAAGCCTTTAGGCAAGTCATGCAATCCCATTCTTGAGGATTCACTGCTTGGCTGAAACCAGGACAGGTGTTATTGAAATGAGAGCTTTCCACTTTACTGATAAATGGAGAATGAGTCTCAGTTTGGCGGAAAGTAGCAGTTAGAAGTACTAGTGATAGAACAACACCACACAAGCTGAACAAAGCAAGCTTTTTCCTCCCAGTCTTGTCAATGAAGTATATGCTCAAGATTGAACCAAATGCATTAAGGCCAGCAGTGATTAGAGACAGAAGAAGTGCTGTCTGATTGGATGCAAAACCAGCTAACTGAACAATGGTGGGACTGTAATACATCACAGTGTTGATACCCACAAACTGCTGGAAGATTTGAAGGCCCATTCCTGCATACAAACCTCTCCTCACAGTCTTGGTTTTCAGCAGCTTGATCATGCTGATCTTTTCTGAAGCATTAGCTTCCTTCAGCTCCAAAGCAACGGAATCCTGCAAAGCCTGGATTTCAGCTTCAACCTCACTTGGAGGGTAAATCTTTCTTAAAATTGCCTTTCCTTCTTCTTCCCTTCCCTGTTACACATTGAACAAATAAATCAGAAACGATGCAGTTCATCACCAAGAGAAAATTCAAATAATTTACTCGCCTTTCGGAACAGCCACCGGGGTGATTCTGGGAGTGAAAACATCAGAAACACTTGAATTATAGCAGGTGCAGCAGCCACCCCAAGCATCCACCTCCATGTTCCTGGCGCCTGAAAAAAAAAAGAAAGTTACCAAATATTCTGTTAGCATATTACAAGGAGAAGTCTAAATTATAAACTTGTTCTTCAATTAAAATTACAGTTTTATTTTAAAAATCATGTCCACCTTTGATAGTTATTGGGAAAAAGAATCATTAAAGTATGAACAATAATGCATATATGACAGCATAAGCTAAGCATGTTTAGTAATTTGGTTTGTTATACATTATCCTCTACATTACAAACCAATAAAACAAGTAACAAAATAATAAGAACTTAAGAAGGCTTTGAGCATGGTAAAGAAAAAGGTGACCTTAGTGAAAGCCAAGTTGATGAGGTAGGAGAGGAACTGCCCACCAGTGATGAGGAAACTGTTGAGACTTACAAGAGCTCCTCGAACTCTGGTGGGAGAAGCCTCTGAAATGTAGAGAGGAGATGCCATTGAAGCCATTCCAACACCAAGGCCAACAAAAACTCGACCCACGATGAGAATAGAAGGATTTATTGCAGCAGCCATGATAGCAGACCCAATAAAAAACAGGGTATCTGCAATTATTATTGATTTTTTCCTTCCAAAACGATCGTTGATCCATCCACCTACTGAAGCACCGATGATCGCTCCAGCAAGTGCAGTACTCACAATGGCTTCCTGTCATAAGTTATCAAGTATCGCAACACTATTTAAACAATGTTCTACATACCAGTAAGTTCTGCAGCATTAAGATATGGATTCTCTGCAACTGTAAATTCCATTTTTTCTTGAGCGAAATTGACTCCCTTAGAGAAAAGTATAAAATAAATTTTAGATCCTCCAACTTTTTCTTTCTCCATTTCTTTCATGTTTGATACTCTCTCTTCAACTTTCATATCCACTTTTTCTTTTTTTTCTTATATACAACTCCTCTCTTCCTCTCTCAACTCCTTCTACCTCCACCCTCATCGCTTCTCAACTTCTTTCTTTCTCTTTCCATCTCCATCCTCACCCTCATACTCACCTCTTTCATCTTCTTTTTAACTCTTCCACTCCTACTTCTACTCCTATTTCTTCTTGAAAAAATTTTGCTGCATTCCTCATTTTCATTCAAAGGAGTCCATTTTCACGAAAATAGAATTGAATGTGAGTTTTTGCCGCTAGAGATTACATGTTTTATGTCACTCTTGTCAAAATTATATTTCATTATAAAACAGGTGATTTTAGTCACTATCAAATAAAGTATAAAATCAATTTAAAAAATTTATATGATATTTTTTTAAATTAATTACTATTTAAACTTTACATTCTTCTTACGGCTCCCATAATTAATTAAAGGAAATTGTTTGACACCTGTAAAAATCAAAATGCAGAAGTACGAACGGTTTATTAATGAATGATTTTAATCACTTCATAATTCACTTTGCACGGTCATTTTATTATACTCTTGATAGATAAATAATCATAATGTTCCTGAAATCTTAATGTTTTGTTCAGTTTGAGATTAAAAAAAAGCTAGGTAGAAAATAAATGATAAAAAATAGTAAATTTAAAAAATTGTTTCACATGAAAAAAAAAAAAACAATCATTTCTATAGATAAAAAATAAGTATCCAGTTTTATATAAACAATTATGATCCTATTAACAACAATGAAATGTAAATGAAAGAAGGACATTTCAAGAACATTGTAAAAAAAAAAATGAAAAAAAAAAAACTAACATTAATTTCTAGGATTAATTTTAAGCAAAAATAGATGTTTCTTTTACGCCCCAAACTTTCCAACTATATTTACTAAAAACTAATATTAAAAGTTAATATTAACGTAAACAAGTAAAATAGGATGCATTTCACTTGTATTATATAAGAGAAGTGTTTCAATTTCTTATCTCTCTATTATTATTTTTCTTCTCTTATTTCACTTTAACTAAACGAAGTATAAAAGAAGAAGGCATAATTAACTTTTTGAGATTTTAGTGACGTGCGCAATTACATTGCAGTTTAAGGAATAAATATTAAATTCATGACCTATATAAAAATAATAATAAATTTTTATAACTATTTGTTTCCGGCTCTTTAAATAAGATGATTTGTCAAAAAAACTGATTTTATTTTTCTAAAATCAGAAAAAAAAAACTAAATTTTCTTGTATTTATCCCAAAAATAAAATAATAAATTTAAATTTGGAAGAGTTGGAATTATAATGCATTTTAAATTAAAATAATAATAAATGATTTGATTTTAAAACGCTACTTTTTCTAACTGATTACATATTCAAATCAAATCGAAAAATACGGAGAGAAAAACATCTATTGAATAAATGTGATCTCATAAACTCAATAAATAACTTCTGAATAAAAAAAGGCATGAGATCAAATCATTAAATGTACAATTATTCTTACCAAAAAGAATTTATGGTCTCATTAACTATTGTTTACTTTTACCAACCAGTGGGTCCCATCTATTTTATATGCCAAGTTGCTGCTTTTGCTTTTTATGAATGGATAGAAGATGATGCAGGTTGGGAAGAATATGTTAAGATTTGGAAAAATGGGTATTTGTCAATTTATGTGTAGTGTTTTGGAAAATAAATGAACAAAATATTTATTAAAAAAACATATAATTGGGAACAGATGAATCCGGATCTGGTGATATATTATCCAGCCAAATAATCAGTAAAAGAAAAACAGAATCCCATAACCAATTTTAAAACAAAAAAAACAAAACAGAGAGTCACAAGTTGTATTTAATTACTAGATTAAAACTTTCAATTACGCCTTTCTCGTGATGACGGAGCAGAACTGCAGAAGACGACAAACTTAACCAATATTCGCCAACATGATCAGATTAAAATTCATGAACAAGTCCAAAAACAAAAGGTAAAATAAAAATTAAAGCTTTTTCACAAAACATGCAGATTTTATGCAACATGATTATGAGAGCATTAAAGTTCATTAAAGAAGGCTTGAAATTTCAAGAGAGAGAATTGATGAAGGACAAAGGTTTCATTTTACAGAGAAAAGGGCTGATGAGCATGCATTAAGTACCTGAAGCCAAGTCTTCCTATCCACAGCTTTGAAGTCATCCCTGATATAGAGTAGAGCCCCAGATATGACCCCTGCACCGACCAATTGTCAAAAACAAAAATTAATGGGTAGAAAAATAAAACAAAAGCATAGGAATGGCAAATACCATACACAGGAAAACAGAGAAACGGGTGCTTGTTGTTTATGTGATTAAAACTTGTTATTGTTATCATTAGAAAAAATATTAATAATTGATTTACCAGTGTCATAGCCAAAGAGAAGGCCACCAATTCCAGCAGAGAAAGCCAGGCGAAGGACATAAGGATTCTTCCATGAAAGAGACAAACATTCTCTGAAAGCAGAGACATCAGCCTCAGGAACTCCTCCTTCCATGTGAATGGTTGTGTTCTTAGTTCCTACGAAAGGAAGAGAAAGAAGTGAGAGTTTCTCTGTGAAGAGAGAGTGAGTTGAATGATAAGAGGTGGTTGTATTTATAGAGAAGAGACTGCTCTGTGACTCTTTGGACTCATGCAAGATTCTTAATACTTTGTTGGCTCTGTTCGCAACCTCACGCCATAATTTAATTTTACATTTTTTTTATATTTTAAATTGCTATTTTAATCTGTATAGTATATTACATAATAAAATATATATAATGATTTTTTGTTTAAAATTTAACATATTGATATTGTTAAATGTTATAAATTTTAATAAAAATTTATTATTTATTATAATGTGTAGTTTTGCATAGTTTAAAAAATTTATATTACAATAATAATAATAATATTTATTAAGTTTTTTTTATTGCTTTTTCTTAAATGATACCATTTTTTTTAGAAATTTAATTATTATTATCTTAAAGATTCACATTTGTTTTTGTTAAATATCAAAATATTCTAAAAAATAAGAGCGGAGCGCTTGTCCTTTAACTCGTTATATCTTTCTAAAAAATTAAATCATTTATTCAATTTACAAATATAGTTAAACTTTCTAAAAATTTAAAATAATCAAATATTTTATTAACATTTACTGTATTATTATTAAAAATAATATTATTTCACTAAAATTAAACTATTCATACCATGATAAATTATGTACTTACACTTTTCTTTTACTTTTTTTTTCTACAATTAATTTTACAGTCATACAAATTTTCTCAAGTAAACATATACTAATATAATTAATTGAAACAACATATACCGCAATCTCATTAAAAATATCACAATATAAAAATAAATATTCACATTAAACATAGAAAATACCAATAACATTCTTTTAAATACATTATTTATGATTGGTATTTTTAAAATCAAAGTATTTATTTCATAAATTTAGTCATTTTTTATTGACTTTTAAAAAATTAATCAATCACACAAGTGAATTAAATATTAGTCATTTAAATTTATTATAAAAATTATAAAGTGATTAAAAATAATAAAAATTATTAATTAAATTTACAAAATTCATTAAAAATTTATTTTTGTGTTTAAATATATATTTTTTAAAAATACTTCATGTTAAGCTAATGCACATAATTAATTTCATATAATTATAAAGAGAAAAATAATTAATTAATGTAAATGATGTTAGTATTATAATTTTTAAGAATATATAATCAGATAAATTATCTATATATATATATATATATATATATATATATATATATATATATATATATACATGAAGAATGATCTTTTCACACCAATGTAAGTTTAAAAATTCTTATACTTGACTTAAGTTTTTTATTTAACTTATATTTAATGGATTATATACATATATGAATTTAAAAAAAGTTTTGATATTTTTTGTGCATTATAAATATATTATTAAATTAAAAATAAAATAATATTGTGTAGCTATTTTAAATTTAATAATTTAAAAAAATAATACTTTTATTATAATAATTAATATTTTACTATATTAAATATGAACAAATTAGAGAGATAAAATTTTAAAAATAAAATTCAAATAAAAACTTAATAAAAAATTAAATATTAATTGAAAATAAATTATGTGACAATTAAGAAGATAATAACACTTAATTAAAATACGTTAACTGATTATAACTATATATATCAACCTCTATATATAAAAATTAAGAAATATGAAAATTAAAATTGATCCCAAAAAATATTTTCATTTCATAGGTAAATTAATACTTTCATTCAAGAAATAATACTTGCAGATTATATATAAAAGTATAAAAATTAGTATTAAAATAAACAAAACGTTTAATTTAAAAAACACCTAATGAAAATTAAAATTACTCTTATTTTAAAAAATCACTTTTATTAATAATTAATCTTTATAAATTATATATAGTGATTAATTATTTAATAAAATATATTATAAATATATTCATACAGATTAAGTTAGTTCTGTATTTCTTTTATAATTAATATATATTTTTTATTTTCCTTATTAGCATGCAGAATTATCGGGAAATACTTGTGTTCCACAGTAATGATGAAAATGTTATTTAACTTTATTATAAAAACGGTTTATTTGTTTATAAAGAGTTAAAAAGATTTAAAAGTTTTCAATATACTATTGATTAAACATCCAAAATTTATTTAAAAATTACAATTGCATTTAAATAATTTTCAAAATAATAAATTTATGTTAAGCTTTTATAAACTTGTTAAAAGTTGGTTTCCCTTATTTATTTATTTTTCTATTAGTCTCACTTTTTTTTATTCAATCATGATAAAAAATTTAAATGCATTAAGTATTTTTTAAAAAGCGACAACTTTGTGTAAAATAATTAAAAAAAAGAGGATGGAAATATATTCATACAAATAAAGTTAGTTTTATATTCTTGTTAATTTAATATTGTTTATATATTTTTTTTCTTTTCACTTTTAGTAATTAGCATGTAAAGCTTTAAAAAAATATTTCCACTCCAAAAACTAGATGAAGAGGCTATTTAAATTTATTAATAAAAATAGTTTATTTATTTATAAAGAGATTGACAACATTAATAAGTTTTTAAGGTACTGATAAAGTGTTTGTTAATCGGATTGAATAAAAAAATTATTTTATCTGGTCTGATTAAAAGTGAGTTAAAATTTATTGACAAACTTGTATATACAATATTTAATAATTGTTTTTGATAAAATATGAGATTAACTAATATAATAGTTGGTTTGAAAGTTTTTATTAAATAAGTTAATTTAATAAAAATTTATAAAAATAAATAAATAAATAATTTATTACATTATTTTATATCAATAGATAATATAATTTTAAAATATATGTAAATATAAAATTTTTAAATAATATATATAAATAAATTAATTCTATAAATTTTAATATATATATATATAATAAAAAGATAATTTAAAACAATTCCTCATTAAATTGATCACTTTTGCATGTTTAAGTTTATATACGGTGTCAACAATCTTAACTTGTTAAAAGTGATTTAAATCAACAATCTTAACATGTTAAAAGTGATTTGAATTAAATTAGAAATTTAATTCATATACTCTTTAATTTAGTTAAAATCTGATAAATAAACACATTTATTATTTTGAAAGTAATTTTAAATAAATTTATTTTTATATAAAATTTTTATATTAAAAAGATGATATACAAAAATAATTTTAAATTAATCTAAAAATATACTTATATAATTGATATAATAATAATAATAATAATAATAACAATATGAATATATAAATTTGAAAATAAAAGTGTAAAAAATAGTTAAGTATTACAGTTTTATTAATATATAGTTCATAAATATGAGTGAGATGTTAATTTTATCAGTAAAATTATATATACATGTAATTTTAATTTGATCAATTTTTAAAATCAGTTATAAAATCTAACTAATCTAATTATTATTTTTATGTTTATAAATTTTTATTTACTTAATTTTTAATTAATTTATGTTTTGGTTATTATGTCTATAAACTCTAAATCTATTCATTAAGGCTCCAAAATGTATTAAAAATTATAATTTCATTTAAATAGAATTAAGAAAGTGCTTTTATGTTAAGCTTTTATAAACTAGTTGAAAAATAGTCTTTTTAACTTTTTTTTTTGTTTATCTAATTATAATAACAATTTAGATAATCTAGTTAGTTGAAAAATATCTTCTTTTTAAAAATTAAAAAAATGACGCTTTTATGTAAAACAATATTTTCAAAAAATATTATTGCGGACAAGGTCATTTGTAGATTCTCGTTAATTATGTATATTTTATTTAAATATTTTTATACAAATTTAAATATATTGAAAAGTAAAAAAAAATATTGTATTTTTTTATATACAAATAAAATATATTTTTTCGAAATCATAAATATTTTTTATTGAAAGTAATTTTTTTTTTTTCAAAAATCATTTGTTGACTCCCGAACTATACTCATCAAAATAAGGTTCGCTTTATATTCTCATTAATTTATAATATTTTTTTCAATTTTTTAATAGCATGAAAAATCTTAAAAGATATATAAATTTATTTTGATATATTTTTAAAATGAGATTTAAAATCTAAATGAATTCAATCAAATATAAATCAATAAAAAAAAATTTAATTTGAGTTGAAACAAATGTTGAACACTCTAAATACCATAATTAAATCTCCAAAGTTCATTAAAAAATTATAATTGTGTTAAAATGAATTTAACAAAATACTTTTATGTTAATTTTGTATAAACTAGTTGAAAATTAGTCTTTTGACTGTTTCCTAAATTTATCTTATTATGATAAAATTTGGGAATACATTAGCTAGTTAAAAGGTATTTTTATTATTAGAAAAAAAAAGGTATTTTTATTTTTAAAAATAAATAAATGGCGCATTTATAAAAATTATTTTTCAAAAGATAAACATATATTCGTGCGGATAAGGTCAGTTGTAGATTCTTGTTAATTTTATAATTAATATTTCTTTTTTTATTAGTTTTTCAGTTGTTTAAATTTATTACAAAAAAGTTCGTATTAATTAAATTTTAATTGGTTAAATAATATTATAAAAAATATTATTATATTTTAAAATCATTAATTGCATTGTTTTTTTATTGGATTATATGAAATAAAGCAATTTTTTTTAATAAAGTGTAGTGGTTATTTAATTATATAATAATTTATAAAAAATTAAGAATTCTGAACAAGTTTTTCGTTGCATTATGCAAATATTTTAAATTTAAGTAAAATTTAAAATTTGAATAAAATAAAAATATGTAAGATATTAAATTATTATTATTATTAACTAACTGAAAAATTACCTATGATGAAGAAAAATTGATTGTGTTAAAAATTATTTAATCTTAAAACAATATTTTAAATAAAAAACAGAACCATTTAACTTTTTAGTTAATAAAATAAACTTTTAATAAGATGAAATACCCTTTCAAATACACAGTTAATCTTGGCTTTAAATTAGATTAGTATAGATTGGATAAGATTTTGACAGGGCCATAACTTAGTGATATAAAGAATATTAGTAAAATTG